GATTTTGGAATCCATATTCATCAGGGATATCGGTCTGAAATTCTCCTTTTTGATGGGGTCTTTGCCTGGTTTGGGGATTAAGGTAATGCTGGCCTCATAGAATGAGTCTGGAAGCTTTCCTTCTGTTTCTATTTTTTGAAACAGCTTCAGTAGAATAGGTATTATTTCTTCTTTGAACGTTTGGTAGAATTCCCCAGGGAATCCATCAGGCCCTGGACTCTTGTTTTGGGAGGTTTTTGATCACTGCTTCAATCTCGTTATGGGTTATTGGCCTACTCAGGTTGTCGGTTTCTTCCTGTTTCAGTCTTGGCAGCTTATAGGTTTCCTGGAAGGCCTCCATTTTATCCAGATTGCTCAGTTTATTGGCATAGAGTTGTTGATAATAATTTCTAATAATTGTTTCTATTTCCTTGGTGTTAGTCATGATCTCTCCCCTTTCATTCATAATTTTATTAATTTGGGTCCTTTCTCTTTTCTTTTGGATAAGTCTGGCCAGTGGTTTATTGATCTCATTAATTCTTTCGAAGAATGAACTTCTAGTTTCGTTGATCTGATCTACTGTGTTTCTTGTTTCTAATTCATTGATCTCTGCTCTAATCTTAATTATTTCTCTTCTAATGTGTGGCTTAGGCATCTTTTGTTGCTTTTTCTTCTAGTTCTTTAAGTTGTAGAGTTAGTTGGTGAATTCGGGATTTTTCTATTTTTTTGAGTGAGGCTTGGATGGCTATGTAGTTCCCCCTTAGGACCACCTTTGCAGTATCCCATAGGTTTTGGACCAGTGTGTTTTCATTCTCATTGATTTCCATGAATTGTTTAAGTTCTTTGATTTCCTGGTGGACCCAAACATTCTTGAGCAGAGTGGTCTTTAGCTTCCAAGTGTTATAATTTCTTCCAAATTTTTTCTTCTGATTGAGTTCCAGTTTTAAAGCATTGTGGTCTGAGAATATGCAGGGAATAATCTCAATCTTTTGGTATCGGTTGAGACCTGATTTGTGACCCAGTATGTGGTCTGTTCTGGTGACAGTTCCACGTGCTCTCGGGAAGAATGAGTTTTCTGTTGTTTTAGGATGAAATGTTCTGTATATATCTATGAAGTCCATCTGGTCCAGTGTATCATTCAGAGAGCTCTTGTTTCTTTGTTCATTTTCTGCTTAGATGATCTGTTTATTGCTGAGAGTGGAGTATTGAGGTCTCCTACAATTAACGTATTGTTACCAATATGACTCTTTATTTTGGTTAACAGTTGGCTTATGTAGATGGCTGCTCCCATGTTGGGGGAGTAGATATTTACAATTGTTAGATCTTCTTGTTGGATAGATCCTTTAAGAATGATATAGTGTCCTTCTGTGTCTCTAACTACAGTCTTTAGCTTAAAATCTAATTTGTCTGATATAAAAATTGCTACCCCAGCTTTCTTTTGAGGTCCTCTGGCATGGAAGATGGATCTCCATCCCTTCACTTTCAATCTGGATGTATCTTTAGGTTCAAAATGAGTCTCTTGTAGACAGCATATGGATGGGTCCTGTCTTTTTATCCAATCTGCAACCCTGTGCCGTTTTATGGGAGCATTTAGGCCATTCATGTTGAGAGTGATTATTGAAAGATATGAGTTAATTGTCATCGTGTTGCCTGTGAAGACGTTGTTTTTATAGATTGTCCCTGTAAATTTCTGTTGTAAATCACTCTTGGGGTCTTTCTCCTTTTATAGAACCCCCCTTAATATTTCTTGCAGGGCCGGTTTAGTGGTCACGTTATTCTTTCAGTTTCTGCCTGTCTTGGAAGTTCTGCATCTCTCTATCCATTCTAAATGAAAGCCTTGCCAGATTAAGTATTGTTGGCTGCATGTTCTTCTTGTTTAGTACCCTGAATGTGTCTTGCCAGGCCTTTCTGGCTTGCCAGGTCTCTGTGGATAGGTCTGACGTTATTGTGATGTTCCTCCCTCTGTACGTAAGGAATCTTTTCCCCCTAACTGCCCTTAAGATGGTTTCCTTGGTTCTAAGATTTGTGAGTTTTACTATTACATGCCAGGGTGTTGGCCTGTTTTCCTTGATCTTGGGAGGGGTCCTCTCTGCCTCTAGGACACGAATGTTTGTTTCATTCCCCAGATTAGGGAAATTCTCAGCTACTATTTGCTCAGATATATCTTCTAGTCCTCTCTCCACTCCCTCCGGGATTCCAATAATTTTGACGTTGGAACGCTTCATGGTGCCACTTATATCTCTGATTCAATTTTCATGGATTCTGAATTGTTTTTCCCTGGCCTCTTCTTTTCCCTTTTTATCTATTAAATTGTCTTCTAGGTCACTTATTCGTTCTTCTGCTCATTTACCCTAGCTGTTAGATTTTCTAGATTAGATTATATCTCATTGATAGCATTTTTAAGTTCTGCCAGTTCAGCTTTCATTTCTACCCTTAGAGACTCTATGTTGCCATTAATTGATTTCTCCATTCTAGCTATTGTCTTCACAATTGCTAGCCTGAATTCCCTCTCCGACATCTCGGTTATATCTGCATCCATTTGTAAATCTGCTGCATAAGTCATCATCTCTGAGTCTTTTCTATTTCGGGGGTTCTTCCTCTTAGTCATTCTGCTGATGGGTGGTTGAGGGAATGTATAGAGTCCAAATTATTGACCAGAACCCAAGCAAGATGCACCTGTTTTCTAGGGACCTTAAGGTTGCTGGCCTCTTGTTTTTCCAGCCTGTCTTCTGGGGGAGGGGCCTGCCACACAGTTACTCAGGCAACCGTTTGGGCAGAGTTGCCCTGCCCCCCTGTGGTGGGGGATGGTCTCCGTGGGAACCAGTTTTTTGGGGCTTTTGTTCTCTGGCAGCTTTCCCTGGCAGCTTTCCGCTTCTCTTCCGAGAGTCAGAGCAGAAGAGACCCTTTCCAACCCTCTGCCTCAGAGCAGAGAGGTCGCAGTCTGTTCTTCAGTGAGCTCTCCAGCCACAGCCTCTCTGTTTCTGTCTGTGCTGCTATAAACTGCAGGGTCCTGGGTTGCGCAAGGCTCCCAGTCCTGCCTCCAGGTCGGGGCACGTCTCTGCCCTTTGTGCTTCTAAAACCGCCAGCTGCTTCCAGTTCGCACACGCAACCCCACCGCTCTGGGTTTCCATCCCGGGGGCTGCCCTAAAGTCCTTTCCCCACCACTACCAGTCTGCAAGTCTGTGCACCGTCCCCAGCGCGAGGCTGTCGCTCACTGGCGGTGTAGGATCCCCACAGCCAGGCACCCTCCCGCTGCCATTTATCCTCCGATATCTGCCTGCGGAATCACGGCTCCCCGTTCGTACCTTGAAACCAACCGCCTGCGATATTCTGTTTGTAGAGATCTGGATCTATTTTCTTACATCTCAGGCTGATTTCATGGGTGCTTAGAGTAGTCTGGTAGATATCCAGCTCAATTCCGGGGACCAGTTGGAATAGGGTCCCCTACTCCTCCATCATCTTTTCTCTTCTCCCCAGTAGTTCACTTTTGCCTTTGTTTCCCTTGCCTTTGGAGTTGTGTCTAGGAAGGTGTTGCTGTGGCCAGTGTCAGAGAGGTTGCTTCCTGTGTTCTCCTCTAGGATTTTGATGAATTCCTGTCTCACATTTAGGTCTTTTATCCATTTTGAGTCTGTTTTTGTGTATGGTGTAAGGAAGTGGTCCAGTTTCATTCTTCTGCATGTGGCTGTCCAATTTTCCCAACACCATTTGTTGAAGACTGTTTTTTTTCCCTTGGATATTCTTTCCTGCTTTGTCAAAGATTAGTTGACCATAGAGTTGAGGGTCCATTTCTGAGTTCTGTGTTGTGTTCCATTGATCTGTGTACCACCTTCATGATTACAGCTTGCCTTTTATAGTTAGAAATAAGACAAAGAAACTTGCTAATACTATGCTTCTCAGTATTGTCTTAGAAGTTATAGCAAATGCAGTAAGGCTGTTAAAATAAAGGACACATAAATATTGAAGAGTAAAAGCCAAAATTATTATAGTATTTTAAGGTAATAAGATTTTCTACAGAGAAAACCTAAAAGATCACTTGGAAAATGATTTCAATTGAGAGAGACTCAGTGCTCAGTAAGTTGACTAGCTTCAAGATAAGTTACCTGGGCTCTTTGAACAGAGCTGAATAGTTTATTAACAGTTATAAATGATTTGAATAAGTGGGACGATTCAGTGTTGTAGATAATTTAAATATCCTGAGATTATCTAAACAGTTAATGTAATCGATACATTTGTTCATTTAACAAATATGTGTTGAGCGTCAGTATATCCAGATGAATGTTCTAAGTGCTGGGTATATAGCTATCCATGGAAATATAAAAACCCCTTCTCTCCTGGAACTTACAGTCTAATCAGTGGAGGTAGAGAAAGAAGCCGGAATATAGTATGTCAGGGTGTTGATAATCCCATCAAAATTTTCATAGGATTATCTTTAGAATCTTAATATTTTCTTAAGATTTTATTTATTTATTTCTTTAGAGATAACAAGTTGGGGGAGGGGGAGAGGAAGACAGTGACACAGAATCCCAAGCAGACTCCATGCTGAGCGTAGAGCCTGACAGAACCCTGAGATCATGCATGACCTGAGTGGAAATCAAGAGTTAGAGTCTTAACCAACTGAGCCACCCAGGTACCCCACACAATAAAGTTCATATATATCAATACCTGTGACAAGATGGCTAAAATAACTTGTTAAAAATTAATTGTCCTATTGGATATTTAATTAAAATATAGAAATTAAATCATTATGTTATAGTTGCAAAATAGATCAGTGGGACAAAATATAGAGGGTCCAGTAACATATATCTATATCTATATAGCTACATATATGTCCTGGTTGATGAAGACAGTATTTGTTTTTTAATTTAAAATTTTTTTTTTATTAGGGAGAAAGAGTGGGGGGGATGGTGCCAGGGGTGTGTGGGGAGGAGCAGAGTGAGAGGGACAAGCAGACTCTGAGCGGAGCAGGGATCGTGACTTGGGGCTTGATCTCATGACCCTGAGATAATGACCTGAGCTGAAACCAAGAGTCGGATGCTTAACCAGCTGAACCACCCAGGCACCCCCTGATTAAGACAGTATTATTGTATATACCAACAAGGTTGAAAGTGGTTGTAGGAGTGATGATTTCAATTTTCTTCTTACAGTTTAGAAAGAATATTTAGACATTTCTGTGGTGGAGTACCTATCCTTTTAACAATCAGAGTGGTAACAGTGAAGCTCTTTTTAAGGGAGGAGGTGGAGGGAAGAAGATTGGAACAGAGGCCTTGGTTTTAGGGGCCCTAGGTCTGCCATACCTTGTGGCCCTGCTCAGGGGGCCTGAAAGTAAGTGGAACCTGAGGGTTGGCTCTGTTGGGATCTGCCACACTTGGGGTCCCCTCCTACCAAACTCTGGATGCAGTCTTCATGGCATCATGAAGTTTTGTGCCACCATCACTGGCGAGGACTTTATAGAGCTCTTTATTCATATCAGTGGCACCATATCAAAGCTAGTGAGAGTCTTTGTGCTCCACATGTTCTAAGACAAGCCTGTGCTTTAGGCCTGATGACTCCAGGGTCATCTGCGATGCCAGAGTGTGGTATGAGGTGAGGCAGGGAGACTTCTTCCACCATTTTCATGTGGAAGATGTTTCAGAAAAGTTAAAGGAGATTTATTTAGAGCTGACATCTGAGCATTTGTTTGGAATAGCAAGGAGCAAAGGGAATGCCTCTTACCTTGAAGCCCCAGTTGACCAACAAGTGGCGTCCCCACCTCACTGTGTCTGTGGAGCTGCCATTGCCCACAGGTTGAACTCCTGTGGTGGTACTTGATCCATTTGATGGGCCTTTAAGGGTACTTCCCCCAAGGGCATGGGAAGATTTCCCGGAGCCTGGTATGAAAGCCTGTGATGTTAGTGTTTATCTTCTGGCTTTGAAGACTCAAGAGCAGTGTAGAAAGGATAGCACTTGGGCAATCAAGTGCTGGTTGAAACAAATCTAAGTGGCAAAATGAACTTCAGTGTAGAAATTGAAGTCTAGGGCGCCTGGGTGGCTCAGTTGGTTAAGCGACTGCCTTCGGCTCAGGTCATGATCCTGGAGTCCCGGGATCGAGTCCCGCATTGGGCTCCCTGCTCAGCAGGGGGTCTGCTTCTCCCTCTGCCCTCTTCCCTCTCGTGCTCTCTGTCTCATTCTCTGTTTCTCAAATAAATAAATAAAATCTTTAAAAAAAAAAAAGAAATTGAAGTCTATTAAAAGGTTTTTTGTTTTTTGTTTTTTGGAAATCTTCCAAAATCTGCTCAGGATATGCCTCAAGACAGAAACCTGGAGAACATGGTGCAAGTGCTAGTAGAGAGTAGGAAGCTTCTGCAGTTTTTCAAGGGACAGCAAATAAATCCTGTAACAGTCTTATGCAATGTTTTGAGTAATACTCTTCTTCATCTTGTTCTGGTTCGTGAAGATGTCTCTCTTCAGTATTTCATTCCTGCCTCAGAAAAATTCAAGCAGCCTGTATATACATATATATTTTAATATATATATATAAAAAATATATATATGGTTTTTTTTTGGTAAAGCTTATGGTCTTTTTTTTTTTTTTTAAAGATTTTATTTATTTATTTGAGAGAGAGAGAGTGAGAGACAGAGAGCATGAGAGGGAGGAGGGTCAGAGGGAGAAGCAGACTCCCTGCTGAGCAGGGAGCCCGATGCGGGACTCGATCCCAGGACTCCAGGATCATGACCTGAGCCGAAGGCAGTCGCTTAACCAACTGAGCCACCCAGGCGCCCAGCTTATGGTCTTTTCAAAACTGAAACAGACCCCAAGTTAATTGGCTTGCAAGTCTGCACCCTCACTAGCCTATATGGAATGTACATTTTGCTGAGCTCTTCTTCCTTTGCAAAGATCTTATTAAAAAAAATCATTGGTGAAAGAATTGGATAGTTCATTTGTATGTTTATTGACTTTGTCAGTTTTTTTTTTTTCCCCATACTTTTTAAGATGGCAACAAGAAAAAGACTTTCTACTTTAACTTTTTTGGGGAAAAAGGATTGTAACAAAATAAAAATGTTGAATTTCTGAAGCAATGGATCAGTTTTTATTATAAAATGCTACTGTGTGAAATGGGAACTTCATTCTTTTAAAACAAGTATAATTTTGTGAGGGACTTTTCTTATTTTAGAGAGCTTAATATGCTATCTGAAAGATATAAGGTATTTAGTATTTGTGCATATCGCATAGTTTTTGTTAAGCTGTGTTTTGTCAAAGTATATATTCATGGTTTTAGATTTATCATCTACAGAGCTTGAATTGGTTATTTATTAGGTTCATTGATAATGCATCTTATTCACAAGGATTCAAGGAAATAATTTATGTGGACTAAGATTTTTCTTATGGGTAACCTTTATATAAACCAAGTTTCCATTTTTTCCCTATAGTATTATGTTATCCTGTTTAGAAAATGATTCTTAATGTTTCATTATTTTGAGAAGAGGAAGGAGGGGTTGTAAAGGACTGGTACAGTGATTAGAAGGAAGGTTCATATTCCTTCATATTAAATTTTAGTTTTTTTAATGGCTTATGCAATAAGAGGAGCCATTAACCTGACAGCCTTTATTTTTTGCAGACTCAGTAAATTCTCATGACTACATTTTAATCAGTAATGAATAATTTCCTACTAGACTTGGTGATAAAATGCTTCAATTTGCTAATTTATTTTGTTTTGCTGATTTCCAAATTCCATTCATGGTGTTGTGGAAAGAACACAGAAACATGAGACCTAGGCAAGTCACTTGAACTCTGGCTCTTTAAGATCTCTTTCAGTTTGAATAGATTACATTTCAGTACTCTGAGGGTTTCAATATAGGAAGATTAAACAGTTGTTTTCAAAAGTATTTCAAATATATTTTAAAATTATTAGCACATAACTATTTCAGAATTATAGCTTAAGTTTTTTTTCTAACTTCTGAGTTATACAGAATTGCTTTGTGAATATTTTCAAAGCTGTTTGTAAAGATTGTTTTTTTTAAAGTGATTTTTAATGTTTTAAAAATCCCCCGCCCTCATCAGCATTTTTGTACACTTTAAATGAAAGATGAAAACACAAAACAAATACTTAGAAAATTATAAGATATGCATACTTTTTTTTCTGTGCATAACACAAAAATGACTTACCATGCTTGTTTATAGTATCTTTTCCAATTTTTTCTTTGGTTTATTAATTAAATGAGAATTTTAAAGCTGTAGTAAAAGTCTGCCTTTTTACCTATTTCATCACCTCTCCTCTCCTCCTTCCCTCAGTCTCTCTCTTCCTCTGTCTCTGTCTTTGTTTCTGTTTCTATTCCCTATATTAAATAAAACCAGAGAAATGAAGAAAACCTATGGTTTGTTTTGGAAAATAAATAATTGTGCATTTTAGTCTATGGTGAGTTATTATAATGGTTAACTTTTAATAATTCATTAACAGAAAGTATCTATAAAAGTTTTGTAGCCTGGTCTTTGAAATGTAACTTTGGAAAATGAGAGGGGTTATTTACTCCTCTACTTAACCTACAGATACGTTGCTATTAAAAAAAAATTATTAGGCCATCTCATACTGTGACATCTAAATATAAGATCTTAAAAATTCAGATTCTTTTAATGATCTAGTAAAAATTGTTTATAGTGAATACAAAAATTTTAAAATAATAACGTGTTCTTATTATAGTTTAGTTTAATTGTGAAAAGCTATGGACTGCCCGTTTCTAGTCTTATATTAGTAATTGAATTTAAAAGCCTGGTCTTATAAGTAAGATTTTCATAGAATCAAGAATTAAAAGGGCTTTAGGGATGATCTCATCTAAACACCTTATTTATAGATGAGAAAACAGTTTCAGAGAGCATAAAAGTAACTAAGGATTTTTAATTGTTAATGCCAGAACCCATTTTAGGACCCAGATCTCCAAACTATTTATAGACGTTAAATTTTTGAGCTTGGTCTGTCAAGACTTAATTCAGAGACTTACAGCTTGGATATACTTTTGTTTATTAAAATATATCTAGATCACCATGCGAATCTATTCCTTACCTAAAAAGATAAAATTTAAATGAAAAAAGTCCAAAACATGTTATAAGCCATTGTCATATCATCCTTGTGTGAAGATATCCTTTGTTCTTGCAGGTAGGAAGGAATTTGTTTGCCACAAAATAATTCCCTGGAAGACCAAAACCTCACATTTAAAAATCAAAGCATCAAGTTTAGAAATTATTTCAGCGTCTTTTTCTTTTTTTTAGAAAAACACTACTAAGAAGCAAGAAAACATGCCTTTATGTTTCACTGTATCTTCAGAAAATAAATCAATGATGAAATGTATTTAAAGTGATTCCTTATACCCATAAATGTGTAGTTTTTCCTTTCTCCCTAAGTATCATTTGCTAAAAACTATACTGGCTTATTTATATGACACACTTATACTATTTCTTTTTATTCCACTACTAAAAATGTCACTCATAAGTATACTATGAATGATATATACTTACTTATGTATACGTCTACTGTACCAATATCACAAGAGATCAGGCAAGTATTTATTAGCGGTTAATTTCTATAAAGGTCCTCCTAGTTTTGTTTATCCCCATACAGGTCTAGGTAGTTGAAAAATGCTTCATAAATTAATCTGAGTCTGAGACATCAGAATTAAGATTCTTTTTAAGCAAACTTGTAACCCTGTTTGGTAACTGACAGGATATGGTATATACAGTTCTTAGGCTAAGAGTCAGTATATCATAATTTGCGACCCATTTACATATACCTGTGAATATATGTGAAATTCCAAATAGGTACTCCAGTACTGTCAACCTTTATCATTTGCCCATTTGTGTCATTTAATCCTGTATTTATTATTAGTGTCCTTGGGCAAGGATATTGCCTAATAAAAATGGCTTATTTTGTATCTGCAATTATTTTCCTTATGTGAGTAATAACAGCTACTTCTTGTTTCTGTCATTTTGCTTTCAAAAGATAAAATTAGCTTGTGGTGTGTGTACTTTTAGGGTAGGTTTATTCACTTTATTCCTTACCTCTTTCATGATCTTAAATGGCTGTGTAATATAAAGATTATATTGTTTTAATTAAATAAGGTTTATGACAGGCAAAGTCAAACTTTTGTTAACCTCTGCTTAGTATATTTACATAAGAAAGACCTTAGGACAAATTTTCATAGACTCTTAGTTTATTGCATTTGGAAAATCTTGGTGAGGCAAATTTGTAGGCACTTAATGACAACTATAGATGAGAATTTTCCTTTAAAAATATCCCTGTTAGCATGGTTGTGAAACTGAAAATGTTCAGAAACAAATTGTTTTCTTAAGGCTTAGACTCTTTCCTGAGAGTCGTAAGAGATTATTTATTTGTGATGCTAAACATAACATAAAGTAGGGTATTTCTAATTAGAGGTGGGTTGAAAAGAGACATCTCTTTCCATAATTCCACAAATAATTACTGAGTACATACTATGTGGTAGGCACTGTTGTATGTGTTTTGGACATTGTAGTGTAAAAAGTAGATATTCTTGGGCGCCTGGGTGGCTCAGTTGGTTGAGTGACTGCCTTCGGCTCAGGTCATGATCCTGGAGTCCCGGGATCGAGTCCCACATCGGGCTCCCTGCTTGGCAGGGAGCCTGCTTCTCCCTCTGACCCTCCTCCCTCTCATGCTCTCTGTCTCTCATTCTCTCTCTCTCTCAAATAAATAAATAAAATCTTTAAAAAAAAAAAAAAGTAGATATTCTTATATTTCTAAATTAAATGGCTTAATGGTCTTCCTGAGATAATGGTTTGCCTATGTTTGGGGACATAACACTAATTTTTATATATGAACTGATATAATGAATGCTGGATTTTCAGCTGCCTCTGATTTCTATGTCTGGAACACAGCTGTATTCCTCAATCATAAATAAGAAAATAGATCATACTTTTTGATTCATGACTATCAGTTGTGGCCCAGACATTACCTATTGTTACCAGACATTACTTTGTTTTATTTGGACAAACTCTGAAGGTAACACAGTTAAGATTATGATCATGCCCTCAAAATGGATTTGAAATACTGGGAGTAGATTGGAAATGCCTTGTCTTAGGTTTTTTGTTTTTGTTTTTGTTTTTAAATTAGAGGTATTCTAATTTCAATTCTGTTTCACACCAGGATGAGCATACATACCTCAGTCATATAGGAAACAACTAAGGTTCTCAGAATGTGGGCTATCAGATAGAAAAATGACCTCATAGTATGTAGGGTGGTGTAAAGGAAAGAGTGATAATTAGACTCCTATGTGTCAGGAAACCAAGGATCTGGTCTGTTTTATAAATAATTAGGTGTGTGACCTTGAAAAAATCATTTAACATCTCTGGGTTACAGTTTCTTCAGATGAGGAGTCTAGACATTAATTAGATCAAGTCTCTTGGCTTTGACTCTGGAATACTGGCATGTCCCTCTACTGATAATCAGCACCACCATGTGAAGGGTAGCTGACAGTTTAATATTTTATTAATCACCTTTTCA